CTAAGATTCAACAAGCTCAGAACCCATGCAAAGAGTCCTGACGTAGAAGCCTGAACGACTGGGCTGCTGTTGAGGAACTTGAATTAGGATTTAAGGTCTTAGAATAGGTCAAACCTACTAAGTGCTATATACCTGCATTATGGTACCTGAAGTTAAATTCCTTTCAAGCAACCGAAATGACTGTCACTGTATTCCCGGACCCGGATAACCCTCATGCAATGGTAGCCAAATACACAAAAAGACTAAGACCCTTTCCTAAATCAAAGACGTCCCCGGCAGTACAATCCCAGTACCAAACAATATATAAGGTTAGTTTCTACTTTCCATTCTCTTTCCTATTTGTTGTTTCTCGAGTATTCTAAGTGTGCAGGCCCCCCAAGCCTAAAGCCTGATACTTTAGAGCCGAGACCCAAACCCTAAAATCTAAACCCCCTTGGGACCTGGCCCCTTGCGCACTCCACGGGACGGCCGAGCGGTGGGTGAAGAACTTCTCCATGCCGACCTCCACCTGCAGGTAGGGTTTTGGGTTAGCGCCTTTAGGGTTTAAGGTGTTTCTTTTTTGACGGTTTTAGGGTTTAGGCTTGAAGGTTTAGGGTTTAGAGTTAGGGGTTTAGAGTTGAGGGTCTAAGGGTGGGGGTTTGGCTTTAGGGCTTGGCCTTTGGGGGAAACCCCCCCAAACCCTAAACCCTTCTTTTTTCAAAACCTAAATAAATTAATGCATCTCAGGTTCCAACTCGAGTATGGGATCTTAATCCTGGGGTCTCTAAACCCCAGAGCCCTAAGTATATGGGCCGTTCTCAACATTATGGGCACCTTTTGGGTATAATATACTACAGCACAAAATATTTAGGGGTACCAAAATGGGACCTTAAGTTGGGGAACGAAACCCTAAACCCTATATATACCCCTATATCCCCCTTGAAAGGTAACAAAATGGGACCCTAATTTGGGGAAATACCCGCATAGCTGAAGGTTCACTAGAATCGAAAATGGATGGCGCATTCCAACGCCGTTTTTGGTTGAGGATTGAAGGTGTAGGGCTTAGGGTTTTGGGTTTAGGACGGCAGTTCTGACCACGGGATTAGGTTTCAGTGGGTCCATGTGGGCAAACAACCCTCCAACGCTGTTTGCAGGCGTCGCATGATTTTTGCTTCTTGTCGGAGAGGCTAGCGACGTCCACCTTTGCTTGAAGAGTGGGATCCAAGCCCTGAGGCCCCCAAACACCCTAAATGGTTAAGCCTGAACCCTAAACCCCTTAACCCTCGGGTTCAGGGTTTAGGGCTCAGGGATGTTGGGTCCTCAACCCCCTACACCCGAAACCCTGAACGTATTCCCTAGACCCAAACCCCCTCCCTGAACACGAATCCTTAATCCCTAAAAAACCCTAAACCCTAAAACCCTAACACCCTAAACCCTAATCCCTAAAAACCTAAACCTTCAACCCCCAAACACCAGGGCCCCCAACATGCCGCGTCTGGTAGATGAAGCCACCGCCCACGCGGGCTGAAAAAGTTTGGCCGCCTGGGACAGGTATCGGGGTCAAGGGATTAGGGTTCAAGGATAACCCTAAGGCAGACCCCTGAGACTGGGTTTGGGGTTGAAGGTGAACAGTTTGAGGGCCTCCCAAAATTGGGGGTCGCTTTTAGGGGTTCCCAATAAACATTACAAGAATTGTAGTGTTTAGGACGTCTAAAGTGGGATGGCTCTTTTTATGGAAGCTGCCATTTGGGTATTGCACAGATGATCATGCTGTCTTTTGGCAGGGTTGATGTCTAGCGGCCCGAATTTGGACCCCCATATGCTATAGTCCTTCTTATACCGACATTCAAGCAAGGGACCTTCAATCTGTTGGAAGCCACCCTATACTCCAACCCCCAAGCCCTAAACCCTAAACCCTAAACCCAAGACCTTAAACCTCAAACCCTAGGACTTCTGGGTTCACGGTTTAGGGTTCACCTTGTCCGAGGAAAGGTCAACGCCAAGTAGTGTCCTAGCACCACCTCGTCTGTAGTCTCCTTAGACCTATGTTCTAAAGTATGCTTTGATAATTCCTTAGGGTTATATAATTGAAATTCAAGATAATTCCTAAGGAGACTACAGTTCCTAGATCCGGCAGGTTCAGTGTTGACGGCCCTTTGCGAAACACCCAGAGCGTCTTTCCTCACCAAATGCCCCACCATCCATCACTGGGTTGCTGTTAAGGAACTTGAATTAAGGTACCATAATGGGTACATATAGTAAACAACATGGTTTCCCCAATATTGTGACTTAAACTAAGTTCCTTAACCCTAAACCCTATACCCTAAACCCTACACCAAACCCTAAGCCCTAAACCCTATGTAATACCCCAATATAGGCACCTAAACTAAGGTCCTGAACAGCAACCCAGATCATCACCAACAGGCGGAGCATCCCCGTACAGTTTTCCTGAATCCTGAAAGCCGCCTCAATCTGCATTAGCAACGAGGTGTTGTTTAGGGCTTAGGGTTTAGGGTTTAGGGTCTGGTTTTTCTGTGTAGCTTGCACTAATGAGACCAATGGTGGACCTTCAGAGCTTGAACTGTTAGTGTTCGCTTCATCTGTTCTCTGTAAAGGGGGGAGTACCCATGCAATACAACATTGCAACGATACCTACATGAGCCAATTGAAAACAGAAGCTGCACTCAAAGAGACCACCAGTCCGTATAGCCTAAAACCCTAAGACCACACGACCCTTTCATCATCAGACAACAAAACTTACAGCCCAACATGTCTACAGTCCAAATTCGCCTAAACCACCCACAACACGGGAAAAAATGCCCTGGAATAGGAACTACAAAACCACCCAAACCCTAAATCCTAAACAATCCAAACTAGCCAGAAGCTATGTTACCACAGGCCCTAAAACCAGAAACTCTTAAAGCACAGAAACATCCCGCAGGTTTATGGACATAGACCCAGCCAGGACAAGAGCAAAGAATCCCTGTTGGGTAGATATGGTAGTTTCCCTAAATAGGGGAACCCCACTATAGACCCCTAAATACTATAGTCCTTACTATGGGGACCCCCAAAAAGGTACCCCTAATTTGGGGAAAGCCGCATAGAACCTCTATATACCCTAAACCCTAAACCCCTGCGCAGATGGCAACCCGTAAGCCAAACCGTGTACTTGGTCCCGAACGTTGATCAAGCACAGAGAAGCACAAGAGACGCCGGAAACAACCTAAACCCTTAAACCCTAAACCTTAAAACTTTAAACCCTAAAACCTTAAACCCTAAACCCTGAACCCTAAAACCTTAAACCCTAAAACCTTACACCCTAAACCCTGAACCCTGAACCCTGAATTCAAAACCCCATCCCTGCATGGGATTCTCCAAGCGGCGGCTGCGCTCCAGCGATCGAACCTGGGTCTGCACAAGAAGAAACATGGTTTCTAGGTTGGGTACTGCCCCCACCCAGTAACAGTCTATATTCGGGGTCCTATTAAGGGCTATATAAAACCATATTATACGTATTATCCAACTGTCACTGAGGGGGGCAGTACCCAATTTCTTGGTTTGAAGGGTTCGGGGTTTGGGGCTTATGTGGGGCTTCTTTTCTAGCTTCAGGGTTTCGGGTCAGGGTCTGGGATTTAGGGCCAAGGGTTAAGTAAGGTTTGAGGGTTAGCAGCGTTTCGCGTTGAAAGTTAGGGCAGTTAGGGGTTGAGGGCTTAGGGTTAGGAGAGCTGTTGAGTGTGAACCCTAAGCCCTAAACCCCCAAACCCCTAAGCCCTACACCCAAAACCTTTAATCCTAAACCCAGGCCCCTAAACCCTAAACCCCTAAACCCTAAACCCCTAAACCCCTAAACCCCTAAACCATTTAAAAAAATCAGGCGTTTCTGGGAGGCAGTGTAGAGGATAGGACAAGGCCATGGGGGGCTCCCGGAGTTGCTGTAAAGGAACTTAGGTTAAACGGTTTAGGGTTTAGGGTTTAGGGTTTGGGGTTTAGGGTTTAGGGCTTTTTGGGTCTAGGTTACCATAATATGGCTATGAAAGGTTCAGGGATAGATTGAGTTGCCAGAATATGGGTTTTTAATAAATACTGGGTTTAAGGTTTAGCTTAGGGTTTAGGGTTAGATTAAGCTGCCATATTACCGGCATATGTATCATTGTCTAAACTCCTAGTATCCCCCTTAATAACCCCTATAGTAATCCCCTAAATAATCCCCTATATAACCCCCCCTTTAAGGAATTTAGACTATAGCCCATATCCATATGACTAACCGCGCGGTTAGACGTGGCTGGTCCTGTATCTGCATGGCGGCTCGACGGACGGATGCCCTCATGTGAAGTCGTTGCCCTCTACCGTATCTGCGGGTTTCCCAAAATTAAGGGTACCTTATTGGGGGCCCCTATAATAAAGGACTGTAATATTTTGGGATCTAGAAAAGGGGGTCCCTTATTTTGAGAAACTACCATATAGACAGTGCTCCAAGGTCAGGCTAGAATCCTTTGGAGTTTAGGGATAAGGGTTACGGGTTTAGCGAATAGAGTTTAGGGATTAGGTTTTAGGGTTAGGGTTTAACTCGACATGGGTACCTGGAAGTTTGCCAAGGGCTCTGTGAGCAGATAAGAATCATATGCACACTGCACAGCTCTTGGGATCACTGCCTGCAGGATGCTGCTGGTTCAGGGAGGTTCACTCTACATCCAAGCCAAATGTTCTTCTGTAAGCGTGATGTTCGAAGCCTCTTGGAGCCGAGACAGGCGTGCAGGGCAGCACGACGACATTTGCTCAATGCGGGCTGAACGACCTGCTTCTAAGACAGCACTGAATGAATGTCTGTCTAGCTGTCCATTCCTGCTTCGTCAATCTCAAGCTGGGACCACAATCATCGTCTGCGGGTGCTAAGAATCATGATCTTTTTTTGGGTTCACCTAAGGTGACAAAGGATGGCTTCCCGTAAACTGCAGCTTCAAGCGAAGCGAGGAGCAAGGGTGTACGACCGTGTCCAAACACAGTCAGGACGCTGCTGACGCTCACTCTGCCGGGCAGGCTGCGCTGTGCTGGCCACAGAAGGCACCATCGCTCACCGCACATTTTGGGTGAGTGGCACAGGATGAAGCTGAGCAGAAACTCGTGATGGTGGTGCCGAGCCACACGTCGCCAAATTCGTACGCAGTCGCGCATTTGCAGCACTGCTGACTCGGATCGTCTAGAACACCACCTCCGTTCCAACCAGAGAGGTCGACCAGCTGGCTGTACTTGTCTTGCAGAATCTTGGCATGTATGCGCTGAACTCTGTCTTCTTTCTCCTTCTGGGCCATCTTGTCCGCCACCCGATAGTAAGTCTTGGCTGTGGATGCTAGCAATGCCTATCTGCGCTTAAACTTCATAAGGCTTGTCATAAGGTCCTTTCGTTCCCGCGACATGAAGAGGTCCCGAAAGAAATGCAACCCCACGGCTTTTTTGAGAACCAGCTGAAAATGATGTTCATACGGAACACAAGACCAGTAGGAACTTGAGAACATTTCAGAAAAGCACAAGTGGAACAGAGGTCGCAGCATGTAATGTCTCTCCCGTACAGCTTCTATTCCAGGTGCCCACACATTGGGACCAGCAACGTCCAAATCTGAATCATTGAAACATGGTCTTGGGTTGTTGCAGAGTTGCATGTGGATTCAGATCAGGTGATCTTCCAAATCCCATCAGTTTCGGATTATTCCAGCCTCCGGCAAAATTACTCCAACAGATGCAAAGCGACAGCATTGTATTGGATTCAGAGTCCAGAGCTTTCATGTTGGTGCGGGTACACAAGCAAAAGCACCTGTATTGTAGCTTCCGAACAACCCAAAGGCGACTAACCGTGTTGGACAACTCTTACATCCGGCCACCGCTCACAAATTGCAGGCCCTCCATGCACCTCCACTACTTCAATAAAACATCTGCCCGCATAAAAACATAACCGCTTCTTGGCAACATCCACATAAGTTTTTCTAAACATCCACAACCCTAAACCCTAATTACCAATACCTCAAGAGCAAACCTAGAGCCTTTTTGAGCTCCCCTACCCTAAGCCCCAAGCCCTTAATCGCAAGCTTTTTCCCAGACATTCACCTCAATAACCCCTGGAAAGCACCTCAACTCCCAAAACCTTGGACCCTTAGAGTTTAGGGTTTACGGGCTTTTCCCAGCCCTAAACCTTAAACCCTGAATGGCCAAGACTCTTCATAGCTCCTGTCATAGATGCTCGGAGGGGGCCCCAGCTTCTCCAGCTCAGCAGCAACCTTCTGCGCAAAACCCGCCTGGCGCTGCCCGCCCTCCCCCCCTTAAAATTCCCCAAGATATGAGGGTGCGTATTGCAAACATCTAACATATACCTAACCCCTACACTCTGAACCGTGGGGGTGGAGCTTGTTCAACTATTGGGGGATTGCAGAGTCAAAGAGCACGACAGCAGTACCTTGAACCCAGACGGTACTAAAGAAGCATACAGTACAACCCTGTATACAGGTTCTGGAATTCATGTCGCAAAATGTTTATCAGGCTCAAAAGGGATGATCCTAAGCCCGAAACCCCTAAACCCTTCTACTTAGTAGGGATTTGAAAGTACAGCCTCCATCAAGCCCAGCAAAACTGCTTGCTTTCCAAACCTCCCACCTGGGTCTCCTGAAGATCCTTGATACAAAGCTCCTGGTACCTCGCGGGTGATCTGAGGCTAGAGATTTAGGAGTGGTTTGGGGTTCGCGGTTTGAGGTTCAATTTTTTCCGAGCAGTAGCCATCTTTATGCGCCAGAGAAGTCTCATCCTAGGGCATCTGTTGGGAACACATATGGGAGTTTCCCAAGATAAGGGGTGCCTCTGGGGGTCCCAAGGAAAAGGACGACAGCATTTTGGGCTCTATATTGGGGTCCCTATCAGATGAGTTTGACTAATTTGCGGTACTCCAACGTGGAACTTCCGCTTATTGAAGTTTCTTGGCAGTAAACTTCTCTAAACCCCAAGCCCTTAGCTAGACCCCAAACCCCAAACCTTTTTCTGTTGCCAGCCCGGAGCCCCAAACCTCAGCCCCTTCGGGTTTAGGGTTTAGGGTTTAGCGGGTCTTGATCTTTAAAGGCTAGGTAGGTTGTTGGCTAACCCGAAAACCTTCTAAGTGAAGATGACGGAATACAATTGGCAATTACAAGCTACTCGACCTGCCGGAGACTATGTTTTGTAGCATAATTAGACATTGCGTTGGGTTGTTCTGGATTGTAGTAGGTTTTTTTGTGAAATGATGCCTTTAACAGAGCTTTGCATTTACCTGTCTGAGTTACCTGAAAAAGTGATTTCAGGAGCCTAGGAACTTCTTGTGGCAGTTGTCGATGCAGCTCTGGTAGAGACTTTGAATCTCTGTGCCCTGCTGCTTCAAGCGCTGGTCTTCCGTTACGGCTTGCGCGAACCGCTTGGGCCAGGGATCATCCGCCTCCCAGGGTCAAGGAACCTTTGTTGGTGTGAGATTACAGGGTACAGTTGTCCAAAGCCTATGTCGCTATATTATACATCCCTTAGCCCTATATTATACGCCCCTGAAGCCCTGTGAGCCCTGCCAAATGGCGGCATCCGCGACCCCCTCCAAAAGCCCAGAAGCCAGCCCCCACCTCGAGTCCCTGTCGTAATATTGTGATGGTTGAGGTTTATTCTTATATAACTCATATACCCATAATCATATGACCCCATATATCCCTATATAACCCCACGCTTTTTTAGCCCCCTATATCCCCATACATAACCCCTTCCGGGGCTTTCGGATTGGGGCCGCTTCCTACAAGAGCCCGCGATCTGTTTCTTGTTCCCATTCAAGGGACTCGAGTAGGGTTTCAGGGTTTAAGTGCCTTAGGGTTTCAGGGGTTAGGGTTAAAGTTTAGGGTGTGGGGGGCCTAGGGATGTATAGGGTTAGGGTTACAGGGCTTAGGAGTCCAACAGCTAATAAGCCTAACCGGTGACAACTCCAGTAAGATGTAGCTGTTGTTCCAAGTGCCTGTCCGCAAAATGTAACCCTTATAAACCCTAAATAGTGGTTTCCATCTTCTTTTCCATTATCCTTTTGTAACCCCATGTGACCCCACATATCCGGGGGCCTTGCAGTCCTTCGCGATCATGGTGCAGCAAGGCTTCTCCTTAGACTTCCCCTTCACTTTGCATTGCCGGGTCTGCTCATTGAACTCCCCGCAGGCGCACCTGAAGGCTTGTCCGAAAATGATGAACTTTTGGATGAGTTTTTGGGGTCGCCTCTACGGCGGGCTGGTGCGGAGAGCGTCCTTTTCCGAACAGTCCCTTTTAGCTTACGAATTGTGTGTTTAAGGTCCTTGTATGGGCATGGCTGAATCATGCAGACAGGTTTTATGATGTAGGGCTAAAGGTTTTGGGCCATGATTTTGTCAGAAACTTCCGGCGCCTAGCCCCCATCCCCCCACCCTTATAGTCCCCCTTGGGTAGATAGAATATGGCTTTGGGTATATTGTAATAAGATCCCCACATATCCCATATTCTATCTACTTAAGAGGGACTGTAACCCCAACAAACCAAACCGGCTGCGAGCCTGTTCGTCCACTTGCTGTTGGACTGGTAGGGGTTCACCAGGCCGGACTTGAACCACAGTTGCCTGGGTTGCTGCTAAAGCACTTAAAGAAGTAATCATGATGGGTATATGTAGTCATTGATATGGCTTCCCCATTAGAGTAGCTAACCCTCAGCCCTAAAACCTAAACCCTAAAACCTAAACCCTAAATCCTAAACCCTAGACCCTGAGCCCTAAACCCAATTTGGGTCCTTAACAGCAAGCCCAGTTGCTGGTGGCTGCGGATCTTTTCCATGAGAGCAACCTTGGCCTCCATCAGTAATGGGACTTTCTCAAAAGAACCCCTGTTAAGTTTAGGGTTTAGGGTTTAGAGTTTAGGGTTAAGGCCCCCCCCCCCAAGATTGAGAAACTCAAGAAATAGCACACCCACTTTTTAGCGTTAAGCTATTGAGTTTTTCACTGCTTTGCGCAGTCAAACGAGAGTGCTCTGTTGAGGTGGGTAAAGTGGAACCAATGACTCGTGAAACCCCCTCTTCTCCAAAGCACCACTGCTCTACGTTAGGAGCCCGCCCTGCAGACGTCAAAGCTTAGACCCGGATTCTTCTGTGGACTTAACGGAACTTCCACAAACTTATCCCGATAGACACGGTAAGGACCGCACCATGAATCCCCTTGTATTACTCATATAGCCCTGCGGTGCCCAAGTGACCAAACCCGAGTTCCCTCTATGACCCTGTGCAGCGGAGCAAAGTGTTTGGGGTTTAGGGAGCCCAATTTGCGAAACCCGAATACCATAGCCGTACAGGCAAGGAGGGAGAGAGAGAGAGAGAGAGAGAGAAAACAAAAAGATATATATATATATGTATATATACACCAACATTCACAAATGTGTGTACACGCCTATGAGTACCTTATATACGGTAATCATCTATTATCATCCCCCGCATGTCTTCCTTGTAGACCTACTGTGGAAACCCTGAGCCTTGACGGCGTCGGAGCACTCTGCCTTCTCACACTTGTCCTCCCGGGTTTAGGGTTTAGGCTTCAAACTGATATTTGGGCACTTCGTAAGGTCAGGGTTCACGGGTTTTGGGTTTGGCATTCCTCGAAGCGGACAGGAATCCCTACTAGGGGTTACAAGATCTGGGAATGGCTCCCACATCAGAAAGCTAGAGCCGGCGTATCCGGTCTTGGGACGAGGCTTAAAGGGCTAGGTGTTCAGACAGCGAGCCTGGCAACACTGTGGTTGGGGGGCTGCCCCCACCCCGTAACAAATTATAATAAGGGAAACTTACTAAGGGCTATAAGTGTTTTATTATCCAACTGTTACTGAATGAGAATCGTATCCCAATGCTCCAGGGATGTACCCCAATGGTTGTACTCCTGAAGAGTTCCCCCGGTAGGGCACCAGTATAGCTCTCATAGGAACACATGTAATCGCTTATAACAGGCCTAAACCCGGAACCCTAAACCCTGAGCGCTAAACCCTCTAGAAGGGGGCAACCCTGAAACTTATAAAAATGGCGTGTTGTATCTTTGGAATTCGATTTCGGGGGTCCTCAAAATTGATATCAGGGTCAACTATAGCATATCGGGGTCTATACTCGTGTCCCCCTATGTTGAGGAACTCCCAAGTCTTGTGCGTTCCGAGCAAACGAAGCAAACTAGCCCGGGGACCAAGGTTTCGACGCTATTTGTGAGCCCAGAACCAAACCTAGACCCTAAACCCCGCAGACACTGAACTCTAAGCCCAAAAGCCTACGCTCTAAACCCCATATAACCCCTACATACCCCCTTTAAAGGGCACCACTAAATTTGGGAAACCCTAAACCCTATATAACCCTAATATACCCCTAATATAACCCTATATTATACCCCTATATAACCGCTATATAACCCCTTTAAGGGTACTTAGACACAACCCTAGTCCTTGATCTGGTACTCGTCGATGAGGCCACGTTGGAAGGGTTGAAAATTGCAGTCGATGCTGAAGCCTGCGGAGCAGGTATACCATAATATACCATAAGGGTTTAGGGCTTAGGGTTTAGGGTTTAGGGTCAGGTATACCATAATATACTATAATATAGTAGTTTCCATCATCTTTTCCATTATCCCTATAATAACCCCTATATGTACCCTAGAATCCCTATATAACCCTAGGTGATGCACCCAAAGTGGGTTGCTGTTCAGGAAGTTTCATTAAGTTGCCAGAATATGGGAATATAGTAAATCAAAAGGTTTCCTTAATGTTTTAACTTACTTTTAACTGCTTAACAACTACCCAGCAAATGTGGATAGCACAAGCTTTGTAGAAACCTGACACAGTCACCGCTATCCCTCGTGGTCACCATGAATTACTGGGCTTTACTGTAGGTGTGACAGGCACGTGTGGGGAACATAGGGGCGTGTTACGGTGTCAGGGTCTTCCAACATGAGACATTCCTTTTTCAACGGCCCATTTGTGCAGAATCTCTCCATGTTCTTCACAACTTGTGTAGGCCGGAGTTGCCAAGTGTTGCTCTGCAGCTTCTTTGAAATGCCATTCAAACAAAATAGCATCCGTGCATATACTGGGATGCTTGCTAGAAGCGCTGCAACGGAACGCCACCCAATTTCGAGACAGCCCCTACCACCCCCTACCCCCTATAGAATCTCAATAGACACCCCATTACAATACGGTGGTTTTCATGTTCTGCTCCACTACTCCCTAAACCCTAAGACCTACACCCTACCCCATACCAGTTTCCATGTTCTTTTCCGTTAGGCTTTTACAGCCCACAGTTCACTGTAGGGTCCGCGCTCAATATACAAACAGGGTCCATGGCATGGGTTATGGCATGAGGCTCAAGGCGTCAGGCTCAAGGTTGAGGACTTTTTGTTGGACATAGCAGACTACGACTACAGTTTTGGGTTGCCCTAATTAGCAAACCCTAAACCCTAAATTCTAAATCCTAAAGCGTACCTAAACACTAAACTCTAAAACCTAAATTCTAGGCCCTAAATTCTAAGGATGTCTGGTGGTCGCATCAAGCTCAAGACTAAGGTTCCTGGCGCGCCCAGTGACATTCCAAAGCCACTTAGCACGTGCTGGTGCAAAACGAGGGCCAGGGAAGAGGAGTAGCACATCCAGCGTGTTAGTAGGGGTACCTTTTCTTATCTTGTTGAAATGAGAAATTTGCGGTTGCATTTATGTTCTTGTTGTCCGTTGGAAGCCCTCACCCCAAATCGGAGAAGGATCCCCACAATCCCCGCCCCGCGCACATCCCTATATTTGGGACAGTAAGGGTACCGGCATGCTGAAAAATCCCCATTGCCTTAAACCTGCACCCCCAAACCTTGTGATCTCAAAAAAGCCCTGCATATCCCCATCTGTCCCCGTACATCCCTACGTATCCCTAGCTGCCCTAGCTATCCCCATATCCCCCCCACCTTTAAAGGAGCCAGGTGTGGCAAGCCTCTGCGAAACTGATCCTCGTTCTGGTTGCAGTCGCTGACCCACAGCTCGCAACAAGGTTTTGGCTGGTTGGCCTAAGCAGGGTTTCAGCTTTTAGGGTTGGGTACTGCCCCGACGCACTAACAGTCTATAATAGGGCTCATATTTAGGGCAGTATATTTTCATATTACACTTATTCTCCAACTGCTACTGCGTGGGGGCGGTACCCAATTTTAGGGTTCCTGTGGCTATGTTGGGAGTTTTGGAGGGGCTTAGCAGGGTTTCAATGTTTGGGGCTACTACGGCTTTTGGGTTCAGGCTTTAGGGATCCAAGGCTTAGGATTGCACGGTTTGGAGGCTTTACACTTGTGGCACACTTGCAGGCTTTGGGTGGGGGGGGGGAAGGCTGGGGCTGCTAGAGTTGGGGATGTGAAGGTTTGAAATTGTATGGCAGGTTTGAGGTTCAGGGTTTAGGGTTTAGGTTTGAGGTTGTAGGGCATGCCCCACTTTTTTAGATGCAGTTATGTTGGCCTGATTCTTGGGGATGCCATCTGCACTTAAGACTTGGCAATTAGATGAGAAGCTTAGAGCTGAACGTATTACTTGCAAAGTACACAGGGAGTGCCCAGGAATCAGCATTCTGAATCCTAGACCTTGAACCCTAAGTAGTAGATTCCATTTTATTTTCCATTATCCCAATATAACCCCCATATAACCCTTATGAAACCCGAAGGCTTGAGGCATGGTTCTTGAGTGCAGACTCCGCATCCCAAGTCCTAAGCCTACACTCTCAAAGCCACCTTGGAGTGTCATGAAAACGTTGCAAGTAGGTCAGGGCTTAGGGTCAGGGTTTCATGTCAGGGGGACTTTGTAAGTAGGTTACTAATGGGATAGCTGGTGTTACTGCATGGCATCTAGAGAGCAGAGGTATACTTACTACAATAAAAATACCCCTGACCCTCCAAGAAAGTTTCCCTAAACTCTAAACTCTAATAGTTTCATCAGGATGCTTGTACGCCAGAGTTGTGTCAGGAGACCTCATCTTGACAAATGCTACTCACGCCTGGCTGGTGCCTAAGGGAGAGTGGAGGGAGTGGATCCCGAGGGGTTTAGGGTTTAGGGCACAATCCCTATATAATCCCCGTATATAACCCTACAGTCTCCCGGCCCCCCTTAAGCACCAGTAGGTCGCAATCTAGCAAATGAATATGTTCGATATGCCCAAAGCACGTTACCTTCATGTAGAGGTGTAAAACATCTACAGCTATCCTTTGTGAGGTCTATGCCAGGTCCCCCTATACTATTTAATAGAACTAGCCCGTATACGAGGAATGTAGAACCACAATATGCTTAATTGTTTAGACTTCTACAGTGTGCGGGAACTTAGAGAAACAAATCAATGTCTCCCTTAAGTTCTGGTTCGAGCAGCTCTTTGAAGGATCCGTTCTCGGGGTGTCTGAACATTCTTGCATATTTGGAGGGTCAGAGCGACTTGGTAAGTAGGTTAACAATATGGAAGCAGTACTTACCAAAACCCTCTGACCCTCCAAAATCAAAAGTAGCTAACGTTTAACATCCCTACGTCAAGATGCCCACGCCAGACCATCTCCTGCCATCCCAGGTGAGATCCCCATCATATTCCTTGTCGGAGCTTCGTAGAACCCCTACCTAAACCCCCAAAGTAGGTAGAATAATGGCCCAAAACCCTTAAATATAACCCAAAAAGCCATTATTCTACATACTGCGGGGGTTTAGGTAGCAAAACCCGACACAAATCCTACGCTGTGTCCGCGCCTCGTTGTGGCACTTGCCGCCGCCCGGGCGGCTGCAGATGCAGCAGTTTTCCTCTTGGTTTAGGGTTCAGGGTTTAGGGTGTAGGGTTTAGGGTCTGCTTGAAGACAAACCCTTAGGGTTTAGGGTTTAGCGTCTAAGGTTTGGGGGGTAGGGTACCCCCAATATACTATAGTAGTTTCCATTTTCTTTTCCATTAGCCCAACATAGCCCCAATATAGAAGAACCCAACTTAAAGAGTGTTGTGGTAGATCTTCGTATGACTCCACAATGCAGTCACACGGCTCCTGTATGGAGCTAATGTGTTTTAAGGGTTGGGAGTTTAGGTTTTAGGGTTTAGGTTTATTGGGGCTTGGGATTTAGGGCGTAGGATTTAGGGCCTAGGGTTTAGGGGGAATCCCAACCTAAAAGACCCTAGGCCTCACACCCCAAGCTTCACAACTCAAAGACAAGGCCCAAATGGCCCCACAAAACCTCCGAATTCCACGACCATAGCCCCATCATGTCCTTCCAGTTCATCCTTGCATATGTTGTGGGTCATTCCCCCTTACAGTAACAGTTACCACAATGGGTAATAGAAGTTGTAAGAACCCCCTTAATAAGGCCCCTTTAAGGACAGTTCCTGGGTGGGGGAATGACCCTGGTTGTATGTAATATGCCCTGGAACCTGAAACCATTAATAATCTTTGACACTGCACCCGGAAGCCCGAAAGTCCTAAACCGCTCCTACACCTGTAAACCCAAAAAAGGCCCACAACACTGTACTCGCGAGTACAGAAGCAAACCCGAGTTTTTTT